TCCAGAGAGTATTGTGGACTCAAACAGTGACAGATCTGGACCAAACTTGGCACGAATAATAATATGCCCAAATGTGAACACTGGTGGAGTTTGGGGAAAATAGATTTGTCATTTGGGAGTTGTAGTTGCTGGGATTTATAGTTCATCTACAATCAAAGAACATTCTGAACCCTACTAACGGTAGAATTGAGCCAAACTTCCCGCACAGAACCCCCATGACCAACAGAAAATACTTTTTTCTGATTGTCTTTGGTGACCCTTCTGACACCCCCTTGCGACCCCCTCAGGGGTTCTGACCCCCAGGTTGAGAAACACTGATCTACAGAATTGCATGAGTGTAGCCATCCAGATACTGGACTGCAACTCCTATCAACCATTGCCAATGGTGGAAGTGACAGGCCATCTTCTTCTGAAGGGCTACATATTGTCCATCCTTGATAAAAATGCCAGCTGTCATCATCTATTCAAAGGGCTATTCCATGCAGATGGTGGAACAGATTTGTTGTCTTTTGCTGGTGATGATAGGATCAAGTGTTGAGTCCTGAACCTTGTGGTTTGGAGAGACACTATTGCTCTCTGGAAGAGATTTCTAAATAATTGAAACTGCCGGTCCCATGAATTTGTGGGATTGGGCTATGTAGGTTCAAAGTGGAGTCAGAGCTCTGTACAGACACTACCCAAGTTACAAGCAAGATAAACTCTGTAGCTTTGTTCGTAAGCTAAATTCATTTTTGGTCAGAACAGGTACATTTTCAAAGTGTTACTCCAGCCATATATAGCTTTGGATAGGAAAGGCACCCCTGTGGTGTTCGTTTTGCTGTCTCTGCCCCTGTCCAGAAGATGCCACCACACTTTCTGTCCCTGTGATAATGAGATTTTGATAAATGTGGCTTGTGGAAACAAAGATTGGTGATAAGGCTTCAATTGAGACCCCTTTTCCCCATGATAATAACTCTTTCAGGAGTTAATTTTCCTTCCTAGAGGTAGGTTTTTCTTACTTCTTGTTGTTTCATACCTGTTCTCACCTCCAGTAACACAATGGGTTAAAGCCTTATGCCGGCAGGACTGAAGACTGATAGGTCAGAGGTTTGAATTCAGGGAGAGCGTGGATGAGCTCCCTCTGTCAGCTCCAGGTCCCCATGTGGGGACATGAGAGAAGCTTCCCACAAGGATGGTAAAACATCAAAACATCCCCAGGGCAACATCCTTGCAGACGGCCAATTCTCTCACACCAGAAGCGACTTGCAGTCTGTCAAGTTGCTCCTGACACGAAAAAAAACCCCGTTCTTAACTATGAGTAATGTGTAAGTCAGATGTTTGTAACTTGGGGACTGCCTGTAGTGTGAAAAAGCCCTTGGGTTCAAATTCACAAAAATAAAAAAAATGAATGAATGAACAAATGGTGCGAACTATTCAATAGTGAGTCAGGCTTTGCCTCATATTTTGGTATTTTGGTGGAGTGCGTTAAAGTGCCGAGCTGCTGAACTTGCTGACCAAAAGTTGGTGGCTCAAATAAGGGGAGCGGTGTGAGCTCTCGCTGTTAGCCCCAGCTCCTGCCAACCTAGCAGTTCAAAAACGTGCAAATGTGAGTAGATCAATAGGTACCGCTCCAGCGGGAAGGTAATAGCGCTCCATATAGTCATGCTGGCCACTTGACCTTGGAGGTGTCTACAGACAATGCCGAATCTTCGGCTTTGAAATGGAGATTAGCACCAACCCCCAGAGTAGGACACAACTGGACTTAATGTCAAGGGGAAACCTTTACCTTTACCTACAGTACAATTAAACAGGAAACAACACTTTCAAACCAGGAACAGATTTTTTTATTGTTTCATAATATTATATTTGAGGAGAAAGTACAGTTCTGATTTAGTGACATTCAGTCAAAACCCCACAGACGGTCGCTTTTCTTCATCGTCTCCTCAGAGATGCATACGCAACAAATGTCAAAACCTATGAGCCAGATATTTCTTCTATGCCTTTGGCTCTCAACGATCATTGCAGCCCCTTTCATTGTGCCAAGCCATGTCTAGTGTGCCCGGAGACTAACTGTGAAACTCAGAACTTGACACAAAATCCAAAATATGCACACTCTCTTCCACATTCCTCAGTAACCCAGCAGTCGTGTTCTCCTTTTCAAACACTCTTCAATGGCAGCCCCAATCAGAGCACACTGAGGCAGTCTAGTTTTGAACCAAACCAAGGCTGTGTGACAATGGCTTGCTTTTCTTTTTAATCCAGGAAAGGGTGCAGCCAGCAAACACAAGCCAAGCCATTTTCAAAAAGAATACAGCTTGATTTGCAGAGGACGGGCATAATCCGGCATTGTCCCAGAAGCTTTGGGTTCCTGGGATTAAAAGGCGCACATAATAACTGGTTTCATTCTCCTGCTTTATTGCTCCACTTCCTCAGGTCTCTGGCTCCCATCCGCTACCTATTCATCAATAGTTCTGCATCAGGAGACAGGGACAATCACCCACAGGGCAACCATGGGCTTGTTTGGGACTCCGTGTAGGGAGGGAAAGGCACTTGCAAGGCCAAGGACTGCATTGCAAACTCAGCTTCCCTGAAGAAATCTCCATTTCCAACTGTAGCATTACTGGAAGAAGACTGTCCCTTGATCTGGGTTGCTGTGAGTTTTCAGGGCTGTATGACCATGTTCCAGAAGCATTATCTCCTGATGTTTTGCCTGCATCTATGGGAGGCATCCTCAGATGTTGTGAGGATGAAACATCAGGAGAGAATGCTTCTGGAACATGGCCATACAGCCATGTTAACAACAACCCAGGGATTCCAGTCATGAAAGAGAATACATCCCTTGATCCCTTCATTCTTCCTTCATTAAAAACCTGCAGCGAAGCCACCTTTGCTCTGGTTAGAAGGGGTTCAAGTGTTAATGCATGTTAAACATGCCAAACTTTACAAGCAAATAAAAATCAAAGCTAAACAGCTTTCAAGAAGAGCTATACTGCAGCTCGAGATTGTGAGAATGAGCCCAAGGGAATACTATTGCCTGTTCAGATAATATCAAGACAAGCAGAAACCCAGGGAGAGTCTTTCAAGGCTCAGCTTTGTCCTCCTCGGAAAGCTGCGATCACAACATAATGAGAAGGGGAGCTGAGGTTCAAATGGGACTCCTGTGTTCCAGGAAATATTTTGAAATGAACAAATCTCCAAAGTCCCAATAAAAATCTGCCCAAAGGTTCTCAAAGAACTCGGATGTGAAATCAGTGATCACAACATGTCATATAAGATGAGCTTAAAATACATCAGAAAACTAGAAAAAATGGGATCCAAGATACAGTGTAGTAACTCCATCTCTTCTGGATGCATTTTTTGCTTACTTCTTCCTATTTGAGTACGACAAAAGGTCATCTCATCCAGGATGGGAACTCTTGTTGGATTATAGTTCCCATAATTTCTCAGACAACACATCTGACAGTATTGAGAGCTGAAGTCAACAATGTATGGAGGATCACACAATGCCAACTCCTGATTTCATCCAAACACAAGCAAGTGCCAGAAATCAATTTCTGAACATGCAAGTCACCCAACATTTTCTTAAAAACATCAAGGGATATATAAAGGTAAAGGTTGGCAGAAGCTGGGGCTGACAACCAAATTGTGTTGTGCTTAGAATCATAGAATCATAGAGTTGGAAGAGACCTCATGGGCCATCCAGTCCAGCCCCCTGCCAAGAAGCAGGAATATTGCATTCAAAGCACCCCTGAAAGATGGCCATCCAGCCTCTGTTTAAAAGCTTCCAAAAAAGGAGCCTCCACCACACTCTGGGGCAGAGAGTTCCACTGCTGAATGGATCTCTCTACTTACTTTGAAAGTAGTTGTTATTCTCCAGAAACTTCATTTTTGTGGCTGCCACAAATTAGATTGAATTGGTTGAGACTCTATGAGATATACCTTGAATACTCCAGATCTGGCTATGGTAATCCTTGTCCTTACTTCCCATTTGTACTACTGCAACACTCTCTACATGGGGCTGTCTTGGAAGACAGCCTGGAAGTTGCAACTACTGCAGAGATCGGTGGCTAGATTGCTAACCAGAGTGCCGTACCATGAGAGGAAGATTCCCATGCTGCGGCAGCTCCACTGGCTGCCGATCTGCTTCCGGGCTAAGTAAAAGTGCTGGTAATTATCTATGGAGCCTGAAATAGTTCAGGCCCAGACTATTTGCAGAACTGAATCTCTGTGTACAAACCAGCCCAAGCTTTGCTATCTACAGAGGACACCCTGCTGTCGGTCCCACTCCCGTCTCAAGCGTGGCTGGTGGGAACAAGAGATCAGGCCATCTCCATGGTCACATCTGGAACTCTTTCCCACAGAGGAGGCCCTGCTCTCGGTCCCACTCCCATCTCAAGCTTGGCTGGTGGGAACAAGAGATCAGGCCATCTCCATGATCACATCCTGCCTCTGGAACTCTTTCCCACAGAGGAGGCCCTGCTCTCGGTCCCACTCCCGTCTCAAGCGTGGCTGGTGAGAACAAGAGATCCGGCCATCTCCGTAGTCATGCCCTGCCTCTGGAACTCCTTCCCAAAAGAACTAAAAACTCTCATTGCCTTCAAAAAAACTGCTAAAAACACATCAATGTTTTCTGGTGTATGGAACACATTTGAAGCTTTTTCTTGGAACTCTTTGGCGTATTTTTATTGCTCCCATTTCTCTCTGGCCCTTCACAGCAATATCTTGGAGGGCAATTTGGAAGTCATGGAGAGTCACAAGCAAGTGGGTAGCTCTTACAAAACCTCACTGAGTGCAGTCAGACCACATAATGCGAGTCTGTTTGACACATAATATGGCGATTTCATGGTGGAGACCCATGTAAGAATAAGAGTAAGTGGAGAAAATGGATTCTCTTCTCCCCTTCTTTTCAAAGAACATTCTGTAATATGAATTTTCAATGCAGTTTCAAGAGGCACAGTGAGATGCACTTTGTATGCTTTTAACGCGGCTCTTCCTTTGCTTTTGTCTTCTTTCCTTCCCAGGTTAGCCTGAATGATTCACACAACCAGATGGTGGTCCATTGGGCCGGAGAGAAGAGCAATGTGATTGTGGCTCTGGCTCGGGATAGTTTAGCCTTGATGGGTCCCAAGTTAAGCGACGTGAGTATTTCTGATTTCCATTTTTAATTTTAAGGTGGGAAAATGATGCTATGAATCAAATTCTGGCTCATTTCTTTCTTGACAGTGAGTAATCGTGTTTGTTTTGTTTTCCACTTTGAGTGCGTAAAGAGCAGCTTCCTGATGATACTCTAAAAACAATATTGAGGTTTGGCATGGAACTGGAGTTCTCAAGAACGTATTCAAAATTCTGTCGTGAAATGTTACTCCTCCTAAGAAAGAAGTTTTTCTTTTCCTTGAGATCCCTCCTGTGTCATCTTTCCCCCATTTTAGTAATTGGGAACAATTGATATGTATTTATTTATTTATTTATTTAGAACTTTTGTATCCTGTTCTTCTTTACCTCCGTGGAGGGACTCAGAACGACTAACAGCAAAATTCAATGCTATACAATAAATAACGTCATAAAACAACATACACAATAAATAGGTTCTAAAATACATATAAAAACAATTCATCGTGTTGAAAGCAATATCCAACTCAGTCCAAAATGTTGCAGTCAAATAATTATTAGTCTATACCGGATCATCCATCAATCTGAAAATGCCTGATTCCAAAACCAGGATTTTAGCTGTTTCCTGAAGGATAGGAGAGAGGGGGCAGACCTAATCTCACTGGAGAGAGAGTTCTATAGCTGGGGGTTCACCACAGAGAAGGCCCTGTCTCTCGTCCGCACCAAACACGACTGCGAAGGTGGTGGGACCGAGTTCAGGGCCTCTCTGGAAGATCTTAAAGTAAAGGGGAAGATACGTTTGGACAGGTAAACCAGACCAGAGTCGTGTAGGATTTTGTAGGTTAAAACCAGCACTTTGAATTGGCAGCCAGTGGAGCTGGTGTAACAGGGGAGTATATAACAAGGTCCCCACCTTAATGGGGGTTAGGGATATAGGATCCTCCACAAAAGTAGAAAAAATGAATAAAAATCCCACATTTTCATGCAAGAACATCTTTCTGTGGAGTCTAGGTCCTTCAGCATGACTCTATGATCAGCCTCTGGTGGTACTTGCCCATAGAGTAATTCTGAAGAAGCGTTTTATCTAGGAAACTCTAGGACTTTCAACATACCTTTATGGTCAACTTTCAGAAGTAGTTGACCATAGAATCAACATGGGTGACCTACAGATGCCTAGAGAACTGTTCTCTAAAGGAATTTCTAGCAACTCTGAGCAACCTACAGAGGAAGTTGTCCATAGAGTTACCCTAGACTCTACAGGTGCCTAGAGAAGTTTCTTCCAGCATACCTTTATGATCAACCTCCATAAGATGTTGACTATGGAATCCTGATGGAGGATCTACTGGTACCTAGGGAAATGCTTTCTGTAAAAATCTGTAGGACCTTCAGCACCAATGTATGTCCAGCTTCCAGAGGACCTCAAGATTCCTAGAGAGAACATATTAATTGAATTGTAAATGATCAAATCCACAACAGTGAAACCCACAAATGTGAAGGGCTGACTGTGCTGAAATACGGAGTTAGAGCAAGGATGGGAGTCATGAAGCTCTCCAGATCCTGATGAAGTACAGCCTCTAGCATGCCTCATCATTGGCAGTGCTAACTAGAAATGAGAATTTTTTTGGAGAATTAAAAAACAATGAGAATAGGAGCAAATGACCCCTTTCAAATACACTTCTGGAGCAACCAGTTTCAAAGCCTTTCTAAAGTCGTCTTCTTGCTGATGGAAGGAGATTGGAGAAGGGGATGGGTGAACCTCCTGTGGGAAGGAGGAGGGTATGGCAGATATTCAGATAGAATAATAGAATCAAAGAGTTGGAAGAGACCTCATGGGCCATCCAGTCCAACCCCCCCTGCCAAGAAGCAGGAAAATCACATTCAAAGCACCCCTGACAGATGGCCATCCAGCCTCTGTTTAAAAACTTCCAAAGAAGGAGCCCCCACCACACTCCGGGGCAGAGAGTTCCACTGCTGAATGGCTCTCACAGTCAGGAAGTTCTTCCTCATGTTCAAACTCCTTTCTTGTAGTTTGAAGCCATTGTTCCACATCCTAGTCTCCAGGGAAGAAGAACAAACTTGCTCCCTCCTCCCTATGACTTCTTCTCACATATTTATACATGGCTATCATGTCTCCTCTCAGCCTTCTCTTCTTCAGGCTAAACATGCCCAGCTCTTTGAGCCGCTCCTCATAGGGCTTGTTCTCCAGAGCCTTGATCATTTTAGTTGCCCTCCTCTGGACACATTCCAGCTTATCAACATCTCTCTTCCATTGTGGTGCCCAGAATTGGACACGATATTCAAGGTGTGGTCTAACCAAGGCGGAATAGAGGGGGAGCATTATTTCCCCAGATCTAGACACTATGCTCCTATTGATGCAGGCCAAAATCCCATTGGCTTTTTTTGCCGCCACATCACATTGTTTTCTCATGTTTAACTTGTTGTCCACAAGGACTCCAAGATCACATCCTGCTCTCGAGCCATGCGTCCCCCATTCTGTATCTTTGCATTTCATTTTTTTCTGCCTAAGTGGAGTATCTTGCATTTGTCACTGTTGAACTTCATTTTGTTAGTTTTGGCCATTCATCTCTCTAATCTGTCAAGATCGTTTTGAATCTGTCTCCTGTCTCCTGTCCTCTGGAGTATTGGCTATCCCTCCCAATTTGGTGTTGTCTGCAGATAATTCCAGGAAAATGATATGAGAACCTGAGAAACCAGCATCCTTTATTGTTTGTAACCTCAGCATTTTCCCTTGCTAGGTTTATGTGTCTTATGACTATGGGAAGACGTTTAAGAAGATAACGGAGAAATTCAACTTCGGTCCAGGAAATACTAGCCAAGCGGTCATTGCTCAGTTCTATCACAGCCCAGCTGACAACAAAAGGGTAAGGAATGAAAAATAAGAATTACATTTAAGGAATCTATGCACCTGAAATCAGGTTGTTAATAAGGTTTCTAAACTTCCCTTATGAATGTTTGCCAGGGACATTGAAACTTGGATAGATTTACTAGGTTCTTGTGGGTTTTTTCGGGCTATAGGGCCATGTTCTAGAGGCATTTCTCCTGACGATTATTTGTCGCCATTCTCTGGTTGAAGTAGTCTGCAGTGCCTTTCATGTTCCATGATTCGTGTTTGGGCAATGCTGCGTTTGGTGGTCCCTATGTAAACTTGTCCACAGCTGCATGGTAGCAGAGCACCTGATGAACCAGCCTGGACACAGCATATTATTTGAGAACACAGAAATGCTGGACCACACCAACAACCACCATGTCAGACTACACAGAGAAGCCATTGAAATCCACAAGCATGTGGAAAATTTCAACAGAAAGGAAGAGACCATGAAAATGAACAAAATCTGGCTACCAGTATTAAAAAACTCTAAAATTACAACAGCAAAACAGCAGAGAGGAAACAACCAGGCACATCTTAACACCTCTCAACAAAAGATTTTCCCAGGCTCAGGCAGGCCTTCAAATGCTAATGAAGGTGGTCAGTTGAAACATTCACACCTAGCTCTAGCAGAGAAGAGCTCTTTGTCCCACCCTGGTCATTCCACAGATATATAAACCCATTGTCCTATTTCCAACAGACCTACTACCTCTGAGGATGCTTGCCATAGGTGCAGGCGAAACGTCAGAAGAAATGCCTCTAGAACATGGCCATATAGCCTGAAAAAACCCACAAGAACCTAGTGATTCCAGCCATGAAAGCTTTCGACAATACATTGGATAGATTTGATACTCTACGATGATGCAAATATAATTAGTTTGCTTCTCTCCTCCAAACCGAGGCTGTTTCTCTCGTCTTATTATTTTGCTTTTCTCTTTGTTCTGAGTGGGTCGCATGGGTTATCTTACCCAGCGAATCCATGACACATTGTGGTTATGATGGCCTGAATAACAACTTCACATTTAATGTGGAGATATTAGTAAATGTCAGTGAGCTTCCTTCTGGTTGTGTTGCTTTTGATTATTAACTGCTATTGGATCAGTGATTTTGGTGATGGATGAATGGCTACTGGTAGAGTGATCGAGAATCAGACATGGCTTTGTCACAGAACACAGTTTTTGGGTTGCTTTTGGGTAAAAGTGACTATTCATAGAGTCCTTATAGCAGTATACCAGTGTTCCTAATGCCGCAACTCCTTAAAACAATTCCTCATGTTGTGGTGATCTCAAACCATAAAATTATTTTCTTTGCTACTTGATAACTGTAATTTTGCTACTGTTAGGAATCGTAATGTAAATATCTGACATGCAGGTGATCTCAAACCATAATATTATTTTCGTTGCTACTTCATAAATGTCATTTTGCTACTGTTATGAATCATAATGTAAATATCTGACATGCAGGATGTATTTTCATTCACTGGAACAAATTTGGCACAAATACCTGATACACCCAAATTTAAATACTGATGGGGCTGGGGGAGATTGGTTTTGTCATTTAAGAGTTGTAGTTGCTGGGATTTATAGTTCGCCTATAATCAAAGAGCATTCTGAACTCCACCAACTACTGCCATTTCAAAAAATAAGATTGAGCAGCCTTGCAGAAATATGAGTTCGCTCTGAATTCATCAGGAACTAAAAATGGGCTTCTCTTCCCATTATACAATGATGGTTCATCTATCCATCTTCCTTGTGCCTTGCATAAACCAATGCCCTTCCTCCCTTCCTTCCCAATCTATCTATATATAAATGCTCTGTGCATAATGAGTACCTTAAAAACAAAAGAACCAATGAACAAAATCACACCAAATTTGGCAACAAAACATCTCACAACACAAGGAGTGACCATCACTCAAAAATTATGATTTTGTCATTTGGGAATTGTAGTTGCTGGGATTTATAGTTCACCTACAATCAAAGAGCATTCTGAACTCCATCAATGATGGAATTGAACCAAACTTGGCACACAGAACTCCCATGACCAACAGAAAATACTGGAAGGGTTGGTGGTGACCTTGAGTTTTGGAGTTGTAGTTCACCTACATCCAGAGAGCACTATGGACTCAAACAATGATGGATCTGGACCAAACTTGGCACAAATACTCAGTATGCCCAAATGTGAACACTGGTGGAGTTTGGGGAAAATAGACCATGACATTTGGGAGTTGTAGTTGCTGGGATTTATAGTTCACCTACAATCACAGAGCATTCTGAACCCCACCAACGATAGAATTGGGCCGAACTTCCCACACAGAACCCCCATGACCAACAGTAAATATTGTTTTCTGATGTTCTTTGGTGACCCATCTGACACCCCCTCATGACCCCCCATGGGCCCCGACCCCCAGGTTGAGAAACGTTGCACTACACTGTGGTTATGTTGTGTGTGAGAGACTATGGGAGCTGTAGTTCAATTCCCATCATGTTTTGACACAACACTTTGAGTTATTATACCTATTTTATAGAATATGTTGAATTCTGGATCTTATCCCACTTTGGGTAATCAGAGGGCCCTTCCACAAAACCCTGCCCATTGTGTTCATTTTAGGGGTTTAATGTTGTGATTTATATTGCTGTGCTGTATATTTACATTTTGTAGTTTGTATTTTATGTCATTTTATTTTCTGATTCTCTGTTGTGTTTTTGTGTTATATTGTGTTTCTGTATTGATGGGTATGGCCTCATGTAAGCCACCCTGAGTCCCCTTTAGGGAGATGGTGGCAGGGTATAAATAAAGATTATTATTATTATTATTATTATAACCCATAATATCAAGGCAGATCATCCACAATATCTGCTTTGAGCTAGATTATCTAAGTCCACACTGCCATATAATCCATTTGAATGTGGCGTCTATACAGCTGTGTGGAAAGGGATGGAGATAGGGTCACATTTTTGATTGACGATTCTGTTAACAGAAAGTAATACTCCTTCTCTGCTCCAAAACTTTGCTTCATTAACACAGAGTTCCTGCCATATATTTGAAGCAAACTAAGGGCCCTTCCAGGCAGGCCTTATGTCCCAGGATCTGATCCCAGGTTTTCTGCTTTAAACTGGATTATATGAGTCTGCACTGCCAGGGATAAACAGAAAACCTGGGATCAGATTGTGGAATAGAGGGCCTGTCTAGATGCAAAGCAGTTCGACTCCACGATAACCAAACAGTCATTTGATTAATATTAACTGGTTCATGAAGCCAAGGGGAAATATATGTGTCTCCGAAGGATTATAAATTGCATTTGATCGGGAAAACTGGCTGAGTAATTTCTAACGGGCAGAAAAAAAAACCCTCTCCAAACCCAGATTGGAAAACAAAAGCTTCCCATCTGTTAATTTTTCATTTTTGCGACAGAAAGCCAAGGCTGGTTGATTGTCTGTTTCGGCAGATGTAGACCATGCAGCTGTGATTCTTAAACCATTCGCTGTTGCGAGGCTCAAGCAAAGCTGAAATGTGTCTTGTGGAAATTAGACTGCATTCCTAACCCTCATCACTCATTCCTACTTGGACGGGTTGTGGAGCTGTGGTGGCGCAATGGATTAAACCATTGTGCCGGCTGAACTGCTGACCTGCAGACCTGAAGGTCGGCATTTCAAATCCGCTTCCCATACGGGGACATAAAAGAAGCCTCCCACAGGAGGGTAACACATCCAGGCATCCCTGGGCAACATCCTTGCAGATGGCAAGTTCTCTCACATCAGAAGGAACTTGCACTATATTCTCAACTAGCTGTCCCCTGCCACGTGTTGCTGTGGCCCAGTCTGGTGACATGGAAAATAGTGTTGGTTTCTAATATATGTAATTTCTTTATGCTTGGGAGTATACAGTATTTCTTGTCAGTGTTGATGTGGTTTGCCTACTCTGGGACATGCAACATATTATTGCCCTTCTTTAGAGATCCCTTTGAAATCTATGATACTATATCTGGCATATATATGTGTGTGTGTGTGTGTGAATCATATCTATTTATCTATATCTATGGCTGGATGGCTCTTTCTCAGGAGGGCTTTAATTATGTTTTCTTTTCCTGGTGAAGGGAGTTGGACTGGGTGGCCTTAAGGCAGCATTTCTCAACCTGAGGGTCTGGACCCCTGGGAGGGTTGCAAGGGGTGTCAGAAGGGTTGCCGAAGACCACCAGAAAACACAGTATTTTTTGTTGGTCATGGGGGTTCTGAATGAAAAGTTTGGCCCAATTCTCTTGTTGGTCGGGTTCAGAATGCTCATTGATTGTAGATGAACTATAAATCCCAGCAACTACAACTCCCAAACGTCAAAGTCTGTTTTCGTCAAACTCCATCAGTGTTCGCACTTGAGCATGTTGAGTATTGATGCCAAGTTTGGTCCAGATCCATCATTGTTGTTCTCTCTGGTGTAGGTTAACCACAACTCCCAAACTCAAGGTCAATGTCCACCAAACCCTTCCAGTGTTTTCTGTTGGTCATGGGAGTTCTGTGTGCCACGTTTGGTTCAATTCCATCATCGGTGGAGTTCAGAATGCTCTTTGATTGTAGGTGAACTATGAATCACAGCAAGTAATTTATTAATAGTTTAAAATTCTGTACAAAAGCAATAGCTTGTAAGAGGGTTGAACGGGACTCAGCGAATGCCTTGGTGGATAATGCTGCTCTTGGTACTGCTTGGTACCCACGTGACAAAATCAATTTTTGTGGTCACTCCTTGGGTTAGTAGGTGTCTTGTGGCCAAATTTGGCGGGAGTTCGTCCAGTGGTTTTTGAGTTATGTTAATCCCACAAACGAACATTACATTTCTATTTATATAGATTTGCTTCTGACATGATAAAAAATTGAGAGGATAAATCTATATAAATAAAAATGTAATGTTCATTTGTGGGATTAACATAACTCAAAAACCACTGGGTGAATTGACACCAAATTTGGACACAATACACCTCTCAGGCCAACAAGTGACCATCACTCATAAAAACACTGAAAAACACAGAAGAAGAGACTTAAAAAGCCAAAAAATAATAAAAATACAATGCATGCACAAAACCACATGTATATATACACAAACGCACATATATACACACATACACAAATATATATACACACAAAACACATATACACAGACTGGGCCATAGCAATGCATGGCAGGGGATGGCTAGTCTATATAAATAAAAGGGACTTAAAAGGCCAAAAATTAATAAAAAATACAATGCATGTACAAAACCACATGTATATACACAAACACACACATATACATATATACACAAATATATATTCACACAAAACACATATACACAGACTGGGCCACAACAACGCATGGCAGGGGACGGCTAGTTCCATATAATTCTCTTCTCAATGGCATTTCTAGAGGGTTGCGGAGGGTGCAGACAGAACCAGGTGACACCATCAGAAGGATGACACCTTACTCAAATGACTCAGTTTGTGTTTACTTAATTCAGCAATGGTAACTCAATATATTTTCTATGAAACGCTGTGTCGTTTTTGTTACAGTTAGTTTATATGAAGAGGTGGAATTATTTTGTGTTTCAAGGATTTGTTAGCTTGTGTTTATTTGTAACGGTTTAGTATTTTAGCAACATATTATAGTCTTAGTTTAGTTTGGTTTACTTTTGGTCTCACTCTCTCTCATGTGTATACAACAATTCTTTTTTCCTTTTTCTTTCGGAGTGGTGATTATTCTGTTGTGTCTTGGTTTGTGTTAAAAATTTAAAAAATGAATTAAAAATGTATTGTTGAAGGCTTTCATGGCCGGAATTACTGGGTTGTTGTAGGTTTTTCGGGCTATATGGCCATGTTCTAGAAGCATTCTCTCCTGACGTTTTGCCTGCATCTATGGCAAGCATCCTCAGAGGTAGCCTCACTACCTCTGAGGATGCTTGCCATAGATGCAGGCGAAACGTCAGGAGAGAATGCCTCTAGACAATGGCCATATAGCCCGAAAAAACCTACAACAACCAGTGAATTAAAAATGCCCACGAGCATGCATTGTAGTTGGTTCACACAGAACAGCAGTGTAGCCAAATAGACTTGGCCAGAATTCATGTAGCAGCTCAAAAGGTATTAGTATCTTTCCTATTTTGGACTACAGATACAATCATCCCCATCCGACTACCTGGAGGCAAGTGAAGTTGTAGTCAAAAAGGTCCATAATGCCTCCAGTTTGGGGGAATGTACTGTAATGGCGCTCCATGCAGACAAGACCTTGGAGGTTAAACTGCTGAGCTGCTGAACTTGCTGACCGAAAGGTTGGTGGTTCGAATCTGGGGAGTGGAGTGAGCCCCAGCTTCTGCCAACCTAGCAGTTCAGAAACATGCAAATGTGAGTAGATCAATAGGTACCACTCCGGAAGGAAGGTAACGCCGCTCCATGCAGTCATGATGGCCACATGACCTTGGAGGTGTCTATGGACAATGCTGGCTCTTCAATTTAGAATTGGAGATGAGCACCATCCGACAGAGTTGGACACAACTAGACTTAATGTCAGGGGAAGCCCTTACCTTTACCTTACTGTAACAGCAGGAGATTGTGACCAAGGGTTCGTTGACACTGTAGAATTCATGCAGTTTGACCCCACTTTCACTGCTATGGCTCACTCTAAGGATTCATGGAAGTTGCAGTTTTACAAGTATCCGGATCTCATAGCATCCATCCATTGTAGTTAAACTGCATTCATTCTACAATGTTATGAATCATAATGTAAATATCTGATATGCAGAATGTATTTTCATTCACTGGACCAAATTTGGCACAAATACCCGATACACCCAAAATTTGAATACTGGTGGGATTGGAGGAGGATTGATTTTGTCATTTGGGAGTTGTAGTTGATGGGATTTATAGTTCACCTACAATCCAAGACCATTCTGTACTCCACCAATGATAGAATTGAACCAAACTTGATACACATAACTCTCATGACCAACAGAAAATACTGGAAGGTTTGGTGGGCATTGACCTTGAGTTTTGAAGTTGTAGTTCACCTACATCCAGGTAGAGCACTATGGACCAAATTTGGCATGAATACTCAATATGCCAAATGTGAACACTGGTGAAGTTTGAGGAAATTAGTAAAAAAATAGTAAAAATAAAATAAAAATGTCCACAAGTGTGCATTGTAGTTGGTTCACACGGAACAGCAGTGTAGTCAAATAGACTTGGCCAGAATTCATGTAGCTGCTCAAAGGGTATTAGCATCTATCCTGTTTTGAACTACAGACACAATCACCCCCATCCAATGTAAATGCACTCCAAGAAACCGACATCTCATTAAAGTCTGAATGCGTTTTGTGAAGACTGAGCAATTCTTCTTTCCGTCCCATTCAACCTTCTTCCTCTCCTCTTTCCCCTTTTTGCAGTATATTTTCGTCGATGCCTTCACACAATACCTTTGGCTCACGACTGACTTCTGCAAGACCATTCAGGGCTTCTCGATCCCTTTCAAAGTCTCAGACCTCCTTTTGCACAGCCGCTTCCCGAACCTCGTCTTGGGCTTCGATAAGTCCCATCCCAACAAACAGGTGAGTCTCTCTCCTTGGTTTGGTTTCAGGTGACCGTGGACCCCGGCCAGGACTCTCCTTGGCATGGAACAAGATGTTCCATCCAAAAAGCACCGAGGTAATCATTTCCCCGACTTTGGGATTTTTCCTATTCATGGTGAAGTTATTTGGAATGGAGAACTTTCCTTGTTTCCTTCTCTTTTTGGCTTATGCTGTACTGTATTTGGATGATATCCATGTAGATATAATAACAATCACAATGCGGGCATACTTTAGTTAACAAAGCAACTCCTTTTTACAAAGTCTTTTCATGTTTGCTCAGGCCCTTTATGTTTCTGTAGAGAATCATAGAATCCTAGAGTTGGAAGAGAACTCGTGGGCCATCTACTCCAATCCCCAAGAAGCAGGAAATGCAATCAAAGTACCCCGAGAGATGGCCACCCAGTATGTGTTTAAAAGCCTCCAAAGAAGGAGCTTCTACCACACTCCAAGACAGAAAGTTCCACTATTGAACAGCAGTCACAATAAAGAAGCTCTTCCTTATATTCAGGTGGAATCTCATTTCCTGTAATTTGAAGCCATTGCTCCTAGTCCTAGCCTCTAGGGCAGCAAAAAACAAGTCTGTTCCCTCTTGACTTTATGACTTTACCTCATCCTGTCTCCTCTCAGCCTTCTCTTCTTCAGGCTAAACATGCCCAGCTCTCTAAACCGCTCCTCATAGGGCTTGTTCTCTAGAACCTTGATCATTTCAGTCGCCCTCCTCTGGACACATTCCAGCTTGTCAACATCTCCCTTCAATTATGGTGCCCAGAATTGGACACAATATTCCAGGTGTGGTCTA